AGATATCAGAATTTGTAGACCATCATCTAAGACCTCATGTGAAAGAACTACCCTCTTACATCCAAGATACGACTGATTATCTAAAGAAAATGGAAAGCCTCAATCCTCTACCAAGCAATACTATACTTGCATCCATGGACGTGTCTTCTTTATATACCAACATTCCACAAGACGAAGGAATAGCAGCGTGTGAAGAGGTATGGAACACTCGTAGTGAAAAAAATCCTCCAACTGAGTGCCTTGTTACACTTCTGAAACTAGTGCTAGAGAACAACAACTTCTCTTTCAATGAAAAACATTATCTCCAGATAGACGGTACTAGTATGGGCACAAAAATGGCCCCGTCATATGCCAACATATTTATGGGCCAACTTGAAAAACGCCTCTTGGCTAGTGCTCCATACCAGCCCTTATCATGGTTCCGATTCATTGACGATATTGATTTCAAATGGACAGATTCACAAGAACATCTTAATGAATTTCTAGGACACTGTAACTCTTTCCACCATTCAATAAAATTTACATATGAATCATCTATGGAGAAAATAAACTTCCTCGACACTACGAGTTACATCAAGAACGGAACCATTATAACGGACCTTCATACCAAACAAACGGACAAACATCAATTCCTTTCTTCTAAAAGTTGCCATCCTAAACACTGCTCCCGTGGCATCCCATTCAGCCAGGCATTGCGAATCAAGAGAATATGCTCTACTGAAAATACGCAAAATGCTAGACTAGGACAACTACGTAAACATCTAGTTGTTCGAGGATACAATAACAACATCATTGATAGCGCTTTCGAAAGAGCAAACAAAACTAGTCGCCAAGAACTTCTAGAGTATAAAGATAAGAATAAAGCAGCTAACAGAATACCCCTTGTACTCACTTACCATCCTGATTTTAAAAATGTGTCTTCCATTGTTCAGAAGCATTGGAAAATTATAGAAAATGATTCAAATCTTAAAAAAGTATTTTCCTCACCACCAGTCATGGCCTTCAGAAGACCTAAAAACATCCGTGACAAATTAGTGACATCTGTATTAGCAAAGCAGCCTACTCCATCTCCCGGTTGCTACAAACAATGTGGTCGAAGGAACTGCTTGTGTTGTAAAGCTGCCAATACAAGCAGTTCTTTCATCAGCTCCGTTACTAAACAAAATTATACCATCTACTCAAATTCCAACTGTAAAACGGAGCACTCAATTTATATATTAACATGTGACACATGTGGCATTCAGTATGTGGGAGAAACAATGGACAAGTTTAATATTCGGCTCAATAACCATCGTTCATGGTACAAAACCAACAAAAACTGTCCTCTCACAAGACATCTTCGTTCAACGAAACATTCTTTTGATAATGTTACCTTCCAAATCATAGAAGTCAACACCGAGTGGGACACCACGGCGAGAAGGAGAAGAGAAAATTTTTGGATCCACCAACTCCACACTTTAGAACCTGATGGTCTTAACGAAAAAGATGAGAAAAGATACAGAGAAAATAAAGAATAATTTAGTACACAGCATCGTCCTTTTTATCCTGTAATATTGGCCAATGGACGTTGCTAACTTCAACTACCAATTTTGTAAAAATCTTGAACTTCATCCAAATTATGTATTATATTCAAGGCAGCTAAATTCAAGTGCAACATATACATTGAGCTGCAAAAGTTTCTTATCATCTACATCCGATTTCACCTGGATAGATGCACGCTTGATAAAGCTAGTTAGTCTAGCGAAATATTGCGTTTATTTTCATCATTTTGTAAATATTTTAAACATTCTTATATTTACATACTAAATAGTGTGTTAAAATTACATTGTTAGGCAATCTATAATTTTATTTGTGTAATTGAATTAATCTCTGTACTGATTAATCCACACTCCCATAGATTTGTATGTCATGTGCTGCTATTTATAGGCACTTATATATATATATATATATATATATATATATCCTTATATAATATCTTTAACGGGAAGCTTAACAATAACATTTACGACAAAAGAGATGATTTTCAGTTTGTTAAATTCTTAAATGGGGACGTTCCATTGGCACCATCTTATGGTGTTTATATATCCCAACGATTCGCTCGTGTATGTTACAAAGTAAATGGTTTTAACGAAAGAAGTCTCTGTATTACTCAAATACTATTAAACCAGAGTTTTCGATATTACAAAATTGTCAAAACATTTACTTAATGTTATTATCTATACGAGGACATCATTTGTAAATATGAATCAAGGTGCAGACATCTTATACGTTCAGGTATACATCTACTATTGTAATATTCTTTACAATGCACACAAATGTCGTCATTCACCTCAAAAGCTAGCAAACCTTTGAACAGAATTATTCAGAAGGGATATAGTTATGATACTGTTGCAAAGTCATTACAGCAGAATGCATTGAGTGTGTAGGTGAAGGTAGAATCTTTTGTTAGCTTGCTTGTTAGCTGAACCGTGAAGTCATTATTAGGTTAGGTATACTACCCTCCTTTCAGGAGTAGTTAAGTGCTACAGACAGTTAGATTGGTTATTTGTCGGACTAGTCTACTTTAAAAGGATTCTGCTGTAAAAATGGCGTTTTGGAAAATTAATATTGATTCACTCATAGGGTCTTTTCCTCGGAAATAAACACAATATTCTAAAACAGTTATTGGCATGAAACGAGTTATGTTCTTCTCATATATTTTATGATGGTATGCTCCTGAACCCCTTACGGGAGGGATTGTGCTTGATTTTCGAACATAACTTATCACGCAGATTAATTGAGGTCTGGAGCTGGCATATCAGTAGCTGTGAGTAGTCCTTTGTTGATTTATGTTCATCATTTACGTTTTGCTTAGTTTCTTCTGTTACCTTATCTAATATCGGACTCGAACGTCTTTTAAACTAGTTTTACTGTGTTTATTGCTGTGTTGGTTTTTTAATTCTACATTTGCTAGAGGTATAGAGATTGTATTAAGATCTCACAAAACACGTTGAACTCCGCAGCATTTATGCACCTGTCCCACGCCAAGAACCTCTGGACTTTGTATATAGATATATGAAGATGTGGTATGAGTGCCAATGAGACATCTCTCTCATCCAAGTCACAATTTGTAAAAGTAAACCATTATAATAGTTAAAAGTACGGTCTTCAACACGGAGCCTTGGCTCACACCAAACAGTAAGCTATAAAGGGCCCTAAAAATGACATGTGTAAAACCATTCAAACAGGAAAACCAACAATCTAATCTATATAACAAACGAGAAACGAGGAACAGTTATGAACCACACCAACGAACGAGAAACACTTATGAACCACATCAACAAACAAGAAATACTTATGAACCACATCAAGAACCTTTGGCCTTTGTATGTCTTGTATGTTTCCTTTTTTAGTTTTGTTTCATTTATATGTTTCTAAGCTTAATGCGACGTCCATTTTCGCTGATCTAGAATACATTTTGTTATGGGGCCACCAGAAGCCCGCCTCAAGGTGCGGGATTTTATTACTGTGGTGAAGACCCATTGATTGCCGCCAGCTGTTTTTCTGCTCTTTGGTCGGTTTGTTGTCTCTTTGATACAATCCCCATTTCCTTTATCTATTTTAAATTCATAAAAAAATTACTTTTTTTTTATTAATCACGAGCTGTTTGACTTCAATATTAGATCAGAAGTTCATACACATTTTCGCTATGCAGTTCATTCCGCAAAAAAAAGTTATTTAGCAAACGCCCTTTTTATGTCAAGTGTCGGAAAAAACAAAGGTCATATCAGTAATTAGCTGAGGGAGGGTAAAGTTAAAAATAAAAAGGAGAGATTTGGAATTTTGATAGTGAATCAAACAATACACAAATGTTTACATTTTTTGATACTTTTTGGATCCTCAAATAAAGATTGTACGCAGTACATATAGATAATTTACCACAATATTTGACTCTGTAAATAAAATACTACTTTGTAAAATATTTGGGTCGTACTTGTTTGAATCAACATTTCTCGCTAAAAACAATTGTGAAAGTTGCATTGGTTTTCCTGTATAAACTCATCAGATCTTATCTTATAGAAAAAATAAAAAATTGTGATATCTTGCGACTATACTATCACCATAAATATTCATGATCTTTTAAAGATACTACAGGTTAACATTTGCACGAACATAACACTTATTCTAAATATTTAATCTTCTTGTATTGTAATACTTCATTTTTGTAGGCTAAAAGGGGCCCTTACCAAAACCTCCTCCGTCCAAAAAGCATGTATTCATCTGACAGATTTGTTTTTGCAATCGCCAATGGCAGTCAGCGGGGTTTAAGAACATCAGTTGTTCGACCTGCTAGTCAAATGCGTTTTGTTAAAATATACTTTTTCACTCATTTGGTCTTTTGGAAAATGTTGTTTGTGCTGAATTTAGACCCCTCTATCAAGAAATTTGTTTTGAATGCACACGTATAACAATTGCGGTTATCCAACCCATATATATATATGTATAAGTCTAAATTGAAAACAACGTTCAAACCTATGATTGCGTTGGATAAAAACCGCAATTTTTATACATATATATATTTTCCAAAAGACCAAAATAGTGAAAAGGTATATTTAAATAAAACGTACTTGACTAACAGGTCGAACAACGGATGTTCTTAAACCCTGCTGACTGCCATTGTCGATTGCAAAAACAAATCTGTCAGATGAATACAAGTTGTACTTCGTATGCGCGGCTCCGTTCTGAACACGGTTTTTTTTTGTACTTTTGTCTTGTCGAACTTTCACAACAGTCATGGAATCCGATGAACGAGGTATAAATTTGCCGAGGCTTAAATTACACTTTACGTGAAACTTCGATTAATTATCCATGTTATCTGTCAGATGAGTACAGGTTGGCCTTTGTATAAGTTTTGTTTAAATTTCCCATTGAAATTGAACAGAATTATTTTTGTAGAAAACGTAAAACTCCCTTCAATGTTAAAGGGTAAGCTCTTTATCTATTTGTTTGACTTATCTTACTTGTCGTTTCTGTTCCTGCATTGTTTTTGTTCTTCCCGTATAAAGTATCCCCATCGTTTCTAGTCTTTTCTTCTGAAATGTGTATTCCTTTAATGTCATTTTCACCTACGTGTAGATAAGAAACTGGCTTCGACGGAGAATGATTCCCAGCTGTAATAAAATGTGACATAATGTAAGTTTTACGAATTAATTCTTTAAATCTCGATCAGCGGGAAAATATGTCCTAAATGGAATTTAATATGTTTGTTTTGCAGCAGTCCAAGGATAATACAAAAGCAGTATTAATAAAGTGCAACTTATTGAAACTGAGGAATTATTTGTCAACGGATTTTCAAAGGATATTATTTTTTCTTTCATGTGAATAGGGTTTTTTGTCTCATATTACATTATACTCTTTTTATATCGTGAAATTCCATATAAAATTTTGATTGCAAACAGAGCATTTGTTAAGTCATACGTCCTCTTGTTGTATGAAGGAATGTTTCTTTTTGATAAATAGTATTCCTAGAAACATAGTTGGCGATACAGATACTCTACCTAACATTTTTCGCATTAAGTGTTTTCCTAAACTTTTGATTTGTCAACGGATTTTCAAAGGATATTATTTTTTCTTTCATGTGAATAGGGTTTTTTGTCTCATATTACATTATACTCTTTTTATATCGTGAAATTCCATATAAAATTTTGATTGCAAACAGAGCATTTGTTAAGTCATACGTCCTCTTGTTGTATGAAGGAATGTTTCTTTTTGATAAATAGTATTCCTAGAAACATAGTTGGCGATACAGATACTCTACCTAACATTTTTCGCATTAAGTGTTTTCCTAAACTTTTTTCATTTTAAGAAATATAAATTTTCTATAAGTTTATAAGAAGAATTGCTTAATACGCTGAAATCAAGAATGCGCGAACAAAGGTATTCTTCAATCTACGAAAGTAAGTACTTAAGAAAAAATGTGAATCGAGTTTTCAACAAACTATCAAAGATGTACATTCTTACTACTTTTTAATTTGTTTCTATTAAATTCTTCTTGACTTATCTTACTTTTCGTGTCTGTTCCTGTATTAGTTTTGTTCACCTCGTATAAAGTATCATCATCTTTTCTGGTCCTTTTATCAAAAGTGTGTATTCCTTTATTGTCATGTTCACCTACGTTAAGGTTAGAAACTGGCTCCGAATGGGAATGACTTCCAGCTGTAATAAGATACCACATAATGTTAATCATACAAATCTTTTCAGCACAATAATCATTTTTTTTATCTCTATCAGCGGGAACATATGTCTAAAACTGAACATGATAAAATCAGACGAAACACTTAATTAAATACAACTACATACAAGAAAATTAAAAACCAATACTGCACCGTATCGAAAAGAAAGAAGTAACAGAATTTTACTATGTCTAATTTTTCCTGTTGTAATTATGCAGAAGGCAACTGTCACATTACATTTGAAGATAAGAACTCATATGAATGATATTATTGCCAAATTGACAGATGTCATACAAGTTCAAAATACAATGGACAACATGCATGTTTTATCGCAAAACAAGCATTATACATGAATACAAACGAATGTTGAAAGGGAGAAAGTCATTTAACAATTTGGAATTATATGTCAACGGAATTTTCAAAAAGGATATTTTTTTCTTTTGAGGATTTGTTTTGTCTAATATTGCCTCATAATCTATTTTGATATAGTGAAATTTCATATAACAATATACATGATTGCAATTAGAGCAACAGTTAAATCATACAACTTCCTATTTTATGAAGGAATGGTACTTTGTATAATAACTATGCCTCGTTTGCGATGAAGATATTTTACTTATTTGTCGCAATGTGTTTTTTTCCTTAATTTGAATATTTCATGAAATGCAAATTTCCTATAAGTATAAATAAGCAAGTTCTGAAAATATTGTCATCAATCCACGAAAATTGATGCTCAAGTTTTCAACATGCAAACAATCAAAGATGAAGCAACCTTTGAATTTGTATCGTTTAGATTCTTTCTGACTTATCCCTTTTGGGATGTCTGTTCCTGTATCGTGGTTGTTCAAATTTGAAACAGGATTCGACGGGGAATGGCTTCTAACTGTAATAAGAGATTTCAAAATATCAAGTTACGTAGTTATCACTGTTTACTTTTCAAGACTACACTTGAATAGTAGTAATTGCATATTATTTCTCCATTAGTGGAACAAGCAATGTATATAAAGAAATTGAAATAAAATATAAACAGTACTTGGAAATACTTTGCTCATAAATATCGGTCTGATAAATATGATACACATTTACAAACAAACGAGACAATGATATACAAAATAATATACCTTATATATAATGTATTATTGCTGTTGTGTATGGCATGTTATTGGTTGCAAAAATTTGATATTTTTCATTTAAATGCAATATTTTTTTTATTTAATTGATATATTTCTTCATTCAAATGCAATATTTTTTTATTTGAATGGTATATTTTTTCATTTAAATGGTATATTTTTTTATTTAAATGGTATATTTTTTCATTTAAATGCAATATTTGTTATTCAAATGGTATAATTTGTCATTCAAATGCAATGTTTTTTATTCAATTGGTATAACTTGTCATTTTAATGCAATATTTTTTAATCAATTGGCATAGTAGTTTTTTTTATTTATATGCAATAATTCCATTATGGGAAATTCTTTGACGTCATAAGGTCAAATTTGCAACAACGTTTGTGATTGGTCGGTAATTGTTTGGATTTCTCCCCTTTCTTTCTAAACATAAGTGACCAAGAATTAAAAAACGCGTCAAAATATCGCCCCTCAAACTAAATCTGGCGTTCGTGCGAGTCCTGCACTGGCTGTTGAAATCTTCTGATCCTAACTATTATTTCTATTGCAAAATTTCGATGGTCAAAACGTTCGGACCACAACTTTTCAAAAACTTTCATTGTATATGGATCTATACGCAAGTATATCGTTTTTTTTTTTAAATAGATTAGACGGCACCGTTGGTTTTCCCGTTTGAACGGTTTTACACTAGTAATTTTGGGGTGCCCTTTATAGCTTGCTGTTCGGTGTGAGCCAAGGCTCCGTGTTGAAAACCGTACTTTGACCTATAATGGTTTACAAATTATGACTTAGATGGAGAGTTGTCTCATTGGCACTCATACCACATCTTCTTATATCTATATACAACGTAAACCAGACGTTTCTCAGACTGTTTTCTTTTTTAATTAATCCTTTGACGCGCGTTGTGTACTGATTTAATACTTCAGTCTGGGAGAACAAGATTTATTTCAGTACTAGTTGTTATTAGCTTTGAGCAAACTTCCACTGAGTAATTGAAAATACTCTTATGTCGGTGTTTTGTGTCTATTGTCTTAATGTTAGTTTTTTTGTGTGTCTCGTACCGATCTTTTGACTAATTGCACTTGATTAGTGCAGGTTGTTCTTTTATTGTACTGTTACACCACTGTCCCAGCTTCGGGATGGGTTGAGTGCTCACAAACATGTTGCTGTACTGTTACACCACTGTCCCAGGTTAGGGGGAGGATTGGGATCCCGCTAACATGTTTAACCCTGCCACATTCTGTATGTATGTGCTTGACCCAAGTCAGGAGCCTGTAATTCAGTAGTTGCCGTTTGTTGCTGTGTTATACATATTTGTGTTTCGTTCATTTTTTGTACATTAATTCGGCCGTTAGTTTTCTCGTTTGAATTGTTTTACATTTGTGATTTCGGGGCCTTTTATAGCTGACTATAGGCTTTGCTTATTGTCAAAGGCCGTATGGTGACTTATAGCTGTTGATTTCTGTGTAATATAGTCTCTTGTGGAGTGTTGTCTCATTTGCAATCATACCACATCTTCGTTTTTATATCAACCCTACCATATTCTTTATTTGCCTGGCCCAGGTCAGGAGCCTGTAATTTAGTGGTTGTCGTTGGTTCATGTCTCGACTCATATTTGATTTTTTATAAATTGTGTTGTTATGTATAATTAGGCCATTTGTTTTTTCTTTTGAATTGTTCACACTTTTCATATCGGGCCTTTTATAGACGACTTTACAGTTTCAGGTTTTTGTCATTGTTGAAGACCTTACGATTGTCTATAATTGCTTACATCCACTTCATATTTGAACTCCGGTGGATAGTTGCCTTATTAGCAATCATATCCCATCCAATCTCTTCGTTTTTATATTATATACCTGACTTGTAAATTCGTGTTTTCCTGAACAAGCATGAACTATTTGTAACTGGGCGTTAAAATTAGCATCAAACAATCAATCAATTTAAAATTGTGTTAGATAAGAGGAAAACCATTTGATATTTATCTATTTGTTGGGGTGGGGGACAGAAGGATTTCATATTTGAATATGGTTGCCTGGTAAGAGCTGAAAAATAGGCATGATTAGCGACAGATTAAAATGAATAATAATACCCTCTCTTCCCTTCCCCATCCTTCATCTATAAATTTAAGCTGACCACCACGGAATAGCCCAATAGTGTTCAAAGTAGCGTTAAACACCAATCAATCAAAATCCCTTCCCTAGAATATCAAATAATCGTCCCTTAACTGTTATTGTCCGACGGTGTAGTTCTTATATTTATCCAGCTTATCGTCCTACAGAGATGTCCTACTAAGGCTGTCATACCATTAAACGTTTATAACACAGCTCACATTCTAATATATCTGCATTCATAAATTTATTAATAATTTAGACTAAACGACGCCATATGTTTGTTATGTGCCTCTGCCGACTAAACAACCTATCAAAAAAGAATAGGTGGAAGAGAGCCAGAAGATCTTCCCAATGCAAAAAGAAAAACAAAAATGGACTTCTTCTGGCTCACTACCGAAGAACAAAAAAATGCGCCCCATTAATATGATTTAAAAACGCCTTGTCCCTACCCTTTTTTCCCAAAAATTGGCATTGTTAAATATATATACATATATATAATCATCATTACAATGCTATTGTATTTTTATAAGACCTACTTTATTACATGATCTGGGACTAATGACATCTATCTATAAGTCGAAGCATACAGTAAATTATTATAATATGAATATGTTTCTTGTTTTAATAACCACATATGATGCTATGCATGAGTCACCATTTATCAGGACAGGAATTGGGTTTACATAGAGAGAATAATGTGCAAAAAATAGATAAGGGGCGGTACCAAACCTATAGATAACATAATAAAGAAATGATGAAATATAAAGAATACGTTGATTGTTTTTTGGTTGCCTTATGTCCAGTGGCAAATATTTCACGCATGTTAAGGACAAATATAATAGAGATCAAAGATAAAGAAAAGAGTGAAATGTTAAAAAATTAAAGATTTAGAATTATAGAAACGATCTTTGATCTGAACCCCCTCCCCTCCATTCACACACACACCATAATCATTACCGCCAATACTCGCATATATACATCTCTATACAAATATCTAAATCTGAACCCTTTTTTTTATTTCAATGTGTAGACTGTAGGGGAGTTTCTTCAGAAAGGCTTTTCATTGGGTCGTTTTTGCCATGCACGCAGGTATCTGTTTCTATCCATGAACAGGTTGTGTGTCAAATTATTTATTATTACTTGTCACTCGCATTTTTTGCTCGACCTGGCCATTATTGGCATTAACAGCCAGTGCACGAACTCGCACGAACGCCAGATTTAGTTAGAGGGGTGATATTCCGACGCGTTTTTTTAATTTTTGGTCACTCATGTTTAGAAAGAAAGGGAAGAAATCCAAACAATTACCGACCAATCACAAACGTTGTTCCAAATTTGACCTTGTGACGTCAAGGAATTTCCCATAATGCAATTATTGCATATAAATAAAAAAACTACTATACCAATTGAATAAAAAATATTGCATTAAAATGACAAGTTATACCAATTGAATAAAAGATATTGCATTTGAATGACAAATTATACCATTTGAATAAAACATATTGCATTTAAATAAAAAAATATACCATTTAAATAAAAAATTATACCATTTGAATAAAAAATATTGCATTTAAATGAAGAAATATACCATTTAAATAAAAAAAAAATATTGCATTTAGATGAAAAATATCAAATATTTGCAACCAATACCATGCCAAAGTTGTGTTGGAAATTTGAAAAATCCTATTATGTTTCAGTTAATTAATCGGTTAGGATCGGTAAAGAATCTCTGTTCTTAAACCAGACTTTTCAAACTTGGCCACCATTTGAATTGGGAAAAACCCGATTTAATAAAAATCTTAAACAACAAATCTCTTAAAGATCGCGTTTCTAAAATTCTGAATGTTTCATTTAAATTTCAATTGAAACTAATATCTTTTAAAAATACAAATGAAAATAGGATTGATTGATTGTTGGTGTTTAAACGTTGCTTTTAAGCGACACTTCTGGGCTATTTCGTAGCGGCCAGTTTTTATTGGTGGAGGAAGCCAGAGTGCCCGGAAAAAAACCACCAACCTTCGATAGGAAAACTCAGTGTAAACTGGTTGTGATTACAGTAGTAAAACTACTTAGACCACTTGGCCACCGAGGCTAAATTGAAAACAACGTTCAAACCTATGATTGCGTTGGATAAAAACCGCAATTTTTATACATGTGCATGCAAAACACATTTTTTGGTAGAGGGGTCTAAATACAGCACAAACAACATTTTCCAAAAGACCAAAACAGTGAAAAAGTATATTTAAACAAAACGCATTTGACTAACAGGTCGAACAACGGGTGTTCTTAAACCCTGCTGACTGCATTTGGCGATTGCCTAAACAAATCTGTCAGAAGAATACAAGTTTTACTTTGTATGCGCGGCTCCGTTCTGGACTCGGTTTTTTTTTTTAACCTTTGTCTGGTCGAACTTTCGCAACAGTCATCGAATCCGACGAACGAGGTATAAATTGGCGAAGCCTATATTACACTTTTCGTGAAACTTCGATTAATTATCCATGTTATCTGTCAGATGATTACAGGTTGGCCTTTGTATAAGTTTTGTTTAAATTTCCCATTGAAATTGAACAGAATTATTTAGGTAGAAAACGTAAAACTTCCTTCAATGTTAAAGGGTAAGCTCTTTATCTATTTGTTTGACTTATCTTACTTGTCGTTTCTGTTCCTGCATTGTTTTTGTTCTTCCCGTATAAAGTATCCCCATCGTTTCTAGTCTTTTCTTTTGAAATGTGTATTCCTTTATTGTCATTTTCACCTACGTGTAGATAAGAAACTGGCTTCGACGGGGAATGATTTCCAGCTGTAATAAAATGTGACATAATGTAAGTTTTACGAATTAATTCTTTTAATCTCGATCAGCGGGAAAATATGTCCTAAATGGAATTGAAGATGTTTGTTTTGCAGCAGTCCAGGGATAATACAAAAGCAGTTTTAATAAAGTGCAATTTATTGACACTGAGGAATTATTTGTCAACGGATTTTCAAAAAGAATATTATTTTTTCTTTCATGCGAATAGGGTTGTTTGTCTCATATTGCATTATACTCTTTTCATATAGTGAAATTCCATATAAAAATTTTGATTGCGAGCAGAGCATTTGTTAAGTCTTACGTCCTCTTGTTGTATGTAGGACTGTTTCTTTTGATAAATACTATTCCTAGAAACATAGTTGGCGATACAGATACTCTACCTAACATTTTTCGCAATAAGTGTTTTCCTAAATTTTTTTCGTTTTAAGAAATATAAATTTTCTATAAGTTTATAAGAAGAATTGCTTAATACGATGAAATCAAGAATCCGCGAACAAAGGTATTCTTCAATCTACGAAAGTAAGTACTTAAGAAAAAATGTGAATCGATTTTTCAAAAAACTATTAAAGATGTACATTCTTACTACTTTTTAATTTGTTTCTATTAAATTCTTTTTGACTTATCTTACTTTTCGTGTCTGTTCCTGTATTAGTTTTGTTCACCTCGTATAAAGTATTATCATCTTTTCTGGTCCTTTTATCAAAAGTGTGTATTTCTTTCTTGTCATGTTCACCTACGTTAAGGTTAGAAACTGGCTCCGAATGGGAATGACTTCCAGCTGTAATAAGATACCACATAATTTTAATCATACAAATCTTTTCAGCAAAATAATCATTTTTTTATCTCTATCAGCGGGAAAATATGTCTAAAACTGAACATGATAAAATCAGACGAAACACTTAATTTTATACAACTACATACAAGAAAATTAAAAACCAATACTGCACCGTATCGAAAAGAAAGAAGTAACAGAATTTCACTATGTCTAACTTTTCCTGATGTAATTATGCAGAAAGCAACTGTCACATTACATTTGAAGATAAAAACACATATGATGATATTATTGCCAAATTGACAGATGTCATACAAGTTCAAAATACAATGGACAACATGCATGTTTTATCGCAAAATTATATGTCAACGGAATTTTCAAAAAGGATATTTTTTTTTTCTTTCGAGGATTTGTTTTGTCTAATATTGCCTCATAATCTATTTTGATATAGTGAAATTTCATATAACAATATTCATGATTGCAATTAGAGCAACAGTTAAATCATACAACTTCCTATTTTATGAAGAAATGTTACTTTGTATAATAACTATGCCTCGTTTGCGATGAAGATATTTTACTTGTTTGTCGCAATGTGGTTTTCCTTAATTTGAATATTTCATGAAATGCAAATTTCCTATAAGTTTAAATAAGCAATTTCTGAAAATAATGTCATCAATCCATGAAAATTGGTGCTCAAGTTTTCAACATGCAAACAATCAAAGATGATGCAACCATAAATTCGTGTACCTATGGGCCAATCATTTCTATACAACTTTATCAAATATATAGTTTTTATCGAACATTTCTTCAGTAGCATACTGGTTATATAATAGATATAGGAAGACGTGGTATGAGTGTCAATGAGATAACTCTCCATCCAAGTTACAATTTATAAAAGTAAACCATTAAAGGTCAAGGTACGGCCTTCAACACGGAGCATTGGCCCACACCGAACAACAAGCTATAATAACTGTCCTTATGCTAAATACAAAACATCTCCTTTTCATTTTCGCAGTAGTGATAAACAAATGGAAAGATTAAACTAGTATAAAAAAACGTCTAATTCTACATTGTATTTCTCGATTAGTGGAACAAGCAGTGTATATAAAGAAATTAAAATAAAATATAAACAGTACTTGGAAACACTTTGCTCATAAATATCGGTCTGATAAATATAATACACATTTACAAACAAACGAGACAATGATATACAATGATATACCTTATATACAATGTATAATTGCTGTTGTGTTGGACATTTGAAAAATCCTATTATATTTCAGTTAATCAATCGGTTAGGATCGGTAAAGAATCTCTGTTCCTAAACCCGACTTTTCAAACTTGGCCACCATTTGAATTGGGAAAAACCCGATTTAATAAAATCTTAAACAACAAATCTCTTAAAGATCGCGTTTCTAAAATTCTGAATATTTCATTTAAATTTCAATTGAAACTAATATCTTTTAAAAATACAAATGAAAATAAGATTGATTGATTGTTGGTGATTTAGCGCTACTTTTAAGCGACACTTTTGGGCTATTTCGTAGCGGTCAGTTTTTATTGGTGGAGTAAGCCGGAGTGCCCGGAGAAAACCACCGACCTTCGATATGAAAACTGACCATCCCAGTCAATTATGATTGGAGTCGAGTGCACCCGCAAGAGCGGGGTTCGAACTCGCAACCTCAGTGTTGACTGGCTAGTGATTACAGTAGTACAACTGCTTAGAACACTTGGCCACCGAGCCCCCCTAAAAATAAGAAGCATTGTTCTTAAACAGTAACAATTATACTGGTGAAAATAAAATCAATATACAAATTTGCTTTTAAAAGTAATCTATTTACCATGAAAGCCATATCAAAGTTCAATTTTTTGAGAAATAATTAGATCTATTCTAAATACATAACAGTCTTTTAACATCGACAACATTGACATGATTCATGTTTCCGTAATAGGTGAAATAAACTCCACATCATTTGAATTCTAGGGTGGCAATCATACCACATATCTTTATATACATCTTGTGATCCGTTTATTTGGCAATCGCCAATGGCAGTCAGCAGGGTTTAAGAACATCAGTTGTTCGACCTGCTGGTCAAATGCGTTTTGTTACAATATACTTTTTCACTCATTTGATCTTTTGAAAAATGTTGTTTGTGCTGTATTTAGATCCCTGTATCAAGAAATTCCTTTTGCATGCACACGTATAAAAATTGCTGTTTTTATCCAACGCAATCATAGATTTGAACGTTGTTTTCAATTTAGACTTGTTTATATTTTTTCGTTTGGGCTTGTATTATATTTGCCTTCGGTTTTATATGATCCGTTCATCCTATTTTGACTCTTTCAAAATTCAAGATTCTATCCTAAATTGAGGTAAATGATATGGCCTTCCAAATACCGTTTCGATTCCTAACATCACTGAAGAGACATTAATTGTCGAAATCCGGATATGGTGTACAAATGTTTGCACCTCATGTTTGCGATATACCATCTTTTCCGTAAGTTAATTGTTTTCTGTTTGGTAAAAAATAATAATAAAATCTATTTTGTGACATCTTGTGATCCGTTTATTTGGCAATCGCCAATGGCAGTCAGCAGGGTTTAAGAACATCAGTTGTTTGACCCGCTAATCAAATGCGTTTTGTTAAAATATACTTGTTCACTCATTTGGTCTGTTGGAAAATGTTGTTTGTGCTGAATTTAGACCCCTCTATCAAGAAATTTGTTTTGCATTTTTATTGGTGGAGGAATCCGGAATGCCCGGAGAAAACCACCGACCTTCGATAGGAAAACTGACAATTCTAGTCAATAATGATTGGAGTCGAGCGCACCCGCAAGAGCGGGGTTCGAACTCGCAACCTCAGTGTTGACTGGTTGTGATTACAGTAGTAAAACTGCTTAGACCACTTGGCCACCGAGGCCCCCTAAAAATAAGATGCATTGTTCTTAAACAGTAGCAATTATATTGGTGAAAATAAAATAAATATACAAATTTGCTTTAAGAAGTAATCTTTTTACCATTAAAAGCCATATCAAAGTACAATTGTTTGAGAAAGAATTCGAAATACATAAGAGTCTTTTAACATCGACAACATTGACATGATTCATGTTTCCGTAATAGGTGAAATAAACTCTAAGTCTAAATTGAAAACAACGTTCAAACCTTTGACTGCGTTGGATAAAAACTCCAATTTTTATACGTGTGCATGCAAAACAAATTTCTTGGTAGAAGGGTCTAAATACAGCACAAACAACATTTTTCAAAAGACCAAAATAGTGAAAAAGTATATTTAAACAAAACGCATTTGACTAACAGGTCGAACAACGGATGTTCTTAAACCATGCTGACTGCCATTGGCGATTGCCAAATAAACGGATCACAAGATGTAACAAAATGGATTTTTATCATTAATTTGATACCAAACAGAAAACAATAAACTTGCAAAAAAGATGGTATAGCGCAAACATGAGGTGCAAAAATTTGTACATCATATCCGGATTTCGACAATTAATGTCTCTTCAGTGATGTTAGGAATTGAAACGGTATTTGGAAGACCATATAATTTACCTCAATTTAGGATAGACTCTTGAAATTTGAAGAGTCGAAATAGGATGAACGGACCATATAAACCCAAATGCAAATTTAATACAAGCCCAAACGAAAAAAACATTTTCCAAAAGACCAAAACAGTGAAAAAATATATTTAAACAAAACGCATTTGATTAACAGGTCGAACAACGGGTGTTCTTAAACCCTGCTGACTGCATTTGGCGATTGCCTAAACAAATCTGTCAGATGAATACAAGTTGTACTTCGTATGCGCGGCTCCGTTCTGGACACGTTTTTTTTTGTACTTTTGTCTGGTTGAACTTTATAACAGTCATCGAATCCGACGAACAAGGTATAAATTTGGCGAAGCCTATATTACACTTTTCGTGAAACTTCGATTAATTATCCATGTTATCTGTCAGATGATTACAGGTTGGCCTTTGTATAAGTTTTGTTAAAATTTCCCATTGAAATTGAACAGAATTATTTGGGTAGAAAAGATAAAACTCCCTTCAATGTTAAAGGGTAAGCTCTTTATCTATAAGTTTGACTTATCTTACTTGTCGTTTCTGTTCCTGCATTGTTTTTGTTCTTCACGTATAAAGTATCCCCATCGTTTCTAGTCATTTCTTCTGAAATGTGTATTCCTTTATTGTCATTTTCACCTACGTGTAGATAAGAAGCTGACTTCGACGGGGAATGATTTCCAGCTGTAATAAAATGTGACATAATGTAAGTTTTACGAATTAATTCTTTAAATCTCGATCAGCGGAAAAATATGTCCTAAATGGAACTTAATATTTTTGTTTTGCAGCAGTCCAGGGATAATACAAAAGCAGTTTTAATAAATTGCAATTTATTGACACTGAGGAATTATTTGTCAAAGGATTTTCAAAAAGGATATTATTTTTTTTTTTCATGCGAATAGGGTTGTTTGTCTCATATTGCATTATACTCTATTTATATAGTGAAATTCCATATAAAAATTTTGATTGCAAACAGAGCATTTGTTAAGTCATACGTCCTCTTGTTGTATGAAGGAATGTTTCTTTTGATAAATACTATTCCTAGAAACATAGTTGGCGATACAGATACTCTACCTAACATTTTTCGCAATAAGTGTTTTCCTAAACTTTTTTCATTTTAAGAAATATAAATTTTCTATAAGTTTATAAGAAGAATTGCTTAATACGCTGAAATCAAGAATGCGCGAACAAAGGTATTCTTCAATCTACGAAAGTAAGTACTTAAGAAAAAATGTGAATCGAGTTATCAGCAAACTATCAAAGATGTACATTCTTACTACTTTTTAATTTGTTTCTATTAAATTCTTCTTGACTTATCTTACTGTTCGTGTCTGTTCCTGTATTAGTTTTGTTCACCTCGTATAAAGTATCATCATCTTTTCTGGTCCTTTTATCAAAAGTGTGTATTCCTTTATTGTCATGTTCACCTACGTTAAGGTTAGAAACTGGCTCCGAATGGGAATGACTTCCAGCTGTAATAAGATACCACATAATGTTAATCATACAAATCTTTTCAGCACAATAATCATTTTTTTATCTCTATCAGCGGGAACATATGTCTAAAACTGAACATGATAAAATCAGACGAAACACTTAATTAAATACAACTACATACAAGAAAATTAAAAACCAATACTGCACCGTATCGAAAAGAAAGAAGTAACAGAATTTCACTATGTCTAACTTTTCCTGTTGTAATTATGCAGAAGGCAACTGTCACATTACATTTGAAGATAAGAACACATATGAATGATATTATTGCCAAATTGACAGATGTCATACAAGTTCAAAATACAATGGACAACATGCATGTTTTATCGCAAAACAAGCATTATACATGAATACAAACGAATGTTGATAGGGAGGAAGTCATTTAAACTTTGGAATTATATGTCAACGGAATTTTCAAAAAGGATATTTTTTTTTCTTTCGAGGATTTTTTTTGTCTAATATTGCCTCATAATCTATTTTGATATAATGAAATTTCATATAACAATATTCATGATTGCAATTAGAGTAACAGTTAAATCATACAACTTCCTATTTTATGAAGGAATGTTACTTTGTATAATAACTATGTCTCGTTTGCGATGAAGATATTTTACTTGTTTGTCGCAATGTGTTTTTCCTTAATTTGAATATTTCATGAAATGCAAATTTCCTATAAGTTAACATAAGCAAGTTCTGAAAATAATGTCATCAATCCACGAAAATTGGTGCTCAAGTTTTCAACATGCAAACAATCAAAGATGATGCAACCATAAATTCGTGTTCCTATGGGACAATCATTTCTATACAACTTGATCAAATATATAGTTTTTATCGAACATTTCTTCAGTAGCATACTAGTTATATAATAGATATAGGAAGACGTGGTATGAGTGCCAATGAGACAACTCTCCATCCAAGTTACAATTTATAAAAGTAAACCATTAAAGGTCAAGGTACGGCCTTCAACACGGAGCATTGGCCCACACCGAACAACAAGCTATAATAACTGTCCTTATGCTAAATACAAAACATCTCCTTTTCATTTTCGCAGTAGTGATAAACAAATGGAAAGATTAAACTAGTATAAAAAAACGTCTAATTCTATTTCTCGATTAGTGGAACAAGCAGTGTATATAAAGATATTAAAATAAAATATAAACAGTCCTTGGAAACACTTTGCTCATAAATATCGGTCTGATAAATATGATACACATTTACAAACAAACGAGACAATGATATACAATAATATACCTTATATACAATGTATTATTGCTGTTGTGTTGGACATTTGAAAAATCCTATTATGTTTCAGTTAATCAATCAGTTAGGATCGGTAAAGAATCTTTGTTCCTAAACCCGACTTTTCAAACTTGGCCACCATTTGAATTGTGAAAAACCCGATTAAATAAAATCTTAAACAACAAATCTCTTAAAGATCGCGTTTCTAAAATTCTGAATATTTCATTTAAATTTCAATTGAAATTAATATCTCTTAAAAATACAAATGAAAATAAGATTGATTGATTGTTGGTGTTTTTAGCGCTGCTTTTAAGCGACACTTTTGGGCTATTTCGTAGCGGCCAGTTTTTATTGGTGGAGGAAGCCGGAGTGCCCGGAGAAAACCACCGACCTTCGATAGGAAAACTGACAATCCTAGTCAATTATGATTGGAGTCGAGTGCACCCGCAAGAGCGGGGTTCGAACTCGCAACCTAAGTGTTGACTGGCTAGTGGTTACCATAGTAAAACTGCTTAGAACACTTGGCCACCGAGCCCCCCTGAAAATAAGATGCATAGTTCTTAAACAGTAACAAATATATTGGTGAAAATAAAATCAATATACAAATTTGCTTTTAAAAGTAATCTATTTACCATGAAAGCCATATCAAAGTTCAATTATTTGAGAAATAATTAGATCTATTCTAAATACATAAGAGTCGTTTAACATCGACAATATTGACATGATTCATGTTTCCGTAATAGGTGAAATAAACTCCACATCATTTGAATTCTAGGGTGGCAATCATACCACATATCTTTATATACATCTTGTGATCCGTTTATTTGGCAATCGCCAATGGCAGTCAGCAGGGTTTAAAAACATCAGTTGTTCGACCTGCTAGTCAAATGCGTTTTGTTACAATATACTTTTTCACTCATTTGGTCTTTTGAAAAATGTTGTTTCTGCTGTATTTAGACCCCTCTATCAAGAAATTTCTTTTGCATGCACACGTATAAAAATTGCGGTTTTTATCCAATGCAATCATAGATTTGAACGTTGTTTTCAATTTAGACTTGTTTATATTTTTTTCGATTGGGCTTGTACTATATTTGCCTTAGGGTGTATATGATCCGTTCATCCTATTTTGACTCTTTCAAAATTCAAGATTCTATCCTAAATTGAGGTAAATGATATGACCTTCCAAATACCGTTTCGATTCCTAACATCACTAAAGAGACATTAATTGTCGAAATCCGGAAATGGTGTACAAATTTGTGCACACCATGTTTGCGATATACCACCTTTTTCTTTAGTTAATTGTTTTCTGTTTGATAATAAATTAATAATAAGATCTATTTTGATGACATCTTGTGATCCGTTTATTTGGCAATCGCCAATGGCAGTCAGCAGGGTTTAAGAACATCAGTTGTTTGACCTGCTAGTCAAATGCGTTTTGTTAAAATATACTTGTTCACTCATTTGGTCTGTTGGAAAATGTTGTTTGTGCTGATTTTAGACCCCTCTGTCAAGAAATTTGTTTTGCATGCACACGTATAACAATTGCGGTTATTCAACCCATATATATATATATAAGTCTAAATTGAAAACAACGTTCAAACCTATGATTCCGTTGGATAAAAACCGCAATTTTATACTTCTGCATGCAAAACAAATTTCTTGGTAGAGAGGTCTAAATACAGCACAAACAACATTTTCCAAAGGACGAAAACAGTTAAAAAGTATATTCAAACAAAACGCATTTGACAAACAGGTCGAACAACGGATGTTCTTAAACCCTGCTGACTGCATTTGGCGATTGCAAAAACAAATCTGTCAGATGAATACAAGTTGTACTTCGTATGCGCAGCTCCGTTCTAGACACGGTTTTTTTTGTAATTTTGTCTGGTCGAACTTTCACAACAGTCATGGAATCCGACGAACGAGGTATAAATTTGGCGAGGCCTAAACTACACTTGTCGTGAAACTTCGATTAATTATCCATGTTATCTGTCAGATTAGTACATGTTGGCCTTTGTATAAGTTTTGTTAAAATTTCCCATTGAAATTGGACAGAATTATTCGGGTAGAAAACGTAAAACTCCCTTTAATGTTAAAGAATTAGCTCTTTATCTATTAGTTTGACTTATCTTACTTGTCGTTTCTGTTCCTGTATTGTTTTTGTTCTTCCCGTATAAAGTATCCCCATTGTTTCTAGTCTTTTCATCTGAAATGTGTATTCTTTTATTGTCATTTTCACCTACGTGTAGATAAGAAACTGGCTTCGACGGGGAATGACTTCCAGCTGTAATAAAATGTGACATAATGTATGTTTTACGAATTAATTCTTTTAATCTCGATCAGCGGGAAAATATGTCCTAAATGGAACTTAATATGTTTGTTTTGCAGCAGTCCAGGGATAATACAAAAGCAGTTTTAAGAAAGTGCAATTTATTGAAACTGAGAAATTATTTGTCAACGGATTTTAAAAAAGGATATTATTTTTTCTTTCATGTGAATAGGGTTTTTTTCTCATATTGCATTATACTCTTTTTATATCGTGAAATTCTATCTAAAAATTTTGATTGCGAGCAGAGCAATTGTTACGTTATACGTCATCTTGTTGTCTGAAGGAATGTTTCTTTTGATAAATACTATTTCTAGAATCATAGTTGGCGATACAGATACTCTACCTAACATTTTTCGCAATAAGTGTTTTCCTAAACTTAATCATTTTAAGAAATATAAATTTTCTATAAGTTTATAAGAAGAATTGCTTAATACGATGAAATCAAGAATGCGCGAACAAAGGTATTCTTCAATCTACGAAAGTAAGTACTTAAGAAAAAATGTGAATCGAGTTTTCAACAAACTATCAAAGATGTACATTCTTACTACTTTTTAATTTGTTTCTATTAAATTCTTCTTGACTTATCTTACTTTTCGTGTCTGTTCCTGTATTAGTTTTGTTCACCTCGTATAAAGTATCATCATCTTTTCTGGTCCTTTTATCAAAAGTGTGTATTCCTTTATTGTCATGTTCACCTACGTTAAGGTTAGAAACCGGCTCCGACAGAGAATGACTTCCAGCTGTAATAAGATACCACATAATTTTAAGCATACAAATCTTTTCAGCAAAATAAACATTTTTTATCTCTATCAGCGGGAAAAGATGTCTAAAACTGAACATGATAAAATCAGACGAAACACTTAATTAAATACAACTACATACAAGAAAATTAAAAACCAATACTGCACCGTATCGAAAAGAAAGAAGTAACAGAATTTCACTATGTCTAACTTTTCCTGTTGTAATTATGCAGAAGGCAACTGTCACATTACATTTGAAGATAAGAACACATATGAATGATATTATTGCCAAATTGACAGATGTCATACAAGTTCAAAATACAATGGACAACATGCATGTTTTATCGCAAAACAAGCATTATACATGAATACAAACGAATGTTGATAGGGAGGAAGTCATTTAAACTTTGGAATTATATGTCAACGGAATTTTCAAAAAGGATATTTTTTTTTCTTTCGAGGATTGTTTTTGTCTAATACTGCCTCATAATCTATTTTGATATAGTGAAATTTCATATAACAATATTCATGATTGCCATTAGAGTATCAGTTAAATCATACAACTTCCTATTTTATGAAGGAATGTTACTTTGTATAATAACTATGTCTCGTTTGCGATGAAGATATTTGACTTGTTTGTCGCAATGTGTTTTTCCTTAATTTGAATATTTCATGAAATGCAAATTTCCTATAAGTTTAAATAAGCAAGTCCTGAAAATAATGTCATCAATCCACGAAAATTGGTGCTCAAGTTTTCAACATGCAAACAATCAAAGATGATGCAACCATAAATTCGTGTTCCTATGGGACAATCATTTCTATACAACTTGATCAAATATATAGTTTTTATCGAACATTTCTTCAGTAGCATACTAGTTATATAATAGATATAGGAAGACGTGGTATCAGTGCCAATGAGACAACTCTCCATCCAAGTTACAATTTATAAAAGTAAACCATTAAAGGTCAAGGTACGGCCTTCAACACGGAGCATTGGCCCACACCGAACAACAAGCTATAATAACTGTCCTTATGCTAAATACAAAACATCTCCTTTTCATTTTCGCAGTAGTGATAAACAAATGGAAAGATTAAACTAGTATAAAAAAACGTCTTATTCTATTTCTCGATTAGTGGAACAAGCAGTGTATATAAAGAAATTAAAATAAAATATAAACAGTACTTGGAAACACTTTGCTCATAAATATCGGTCTGATAAATATGATACACATTTACAAACAAACGAGACAATGATATACAATAATATACCTTATATACAATGTATTATTGCTGTTGTGTTGGACATTTGAAAAATCCTATTATGTTTCAGTTAATCAATCAGTTAGGATCGGTAAAGAATCTTTGTTCCTAAACCCGACTTTTCAAACTTGGCCACCATTTGAATTGTGAAAAACCCGATTTAATAAAATCTTAAACAACAAATCTCTTAAAGATCGCGTTTCTAAAATTATGAATATTTCATTTAAATTTCAATTGAAATTAATATCTCTTAAAAATACAAATGAAAATAAGATTGATTGATTGTTGGTGTTTTAGCGCCGCTTTTAAGCGACACTTTTGGGCTATTTCGTAGCGGCCATTTTTTATTGGTGGAGGAAGCCGGAGTGCCCGGAGAAAAACCACCGACCTTCGATAGGAAAACTGACAATCCTAGTCAATTATGATTGGAGTCGAATGCACCCGCAAGAGCGGGGTTCGAACTCGCAACCTAAGTGTTGACTGGCTAGTGGTTACAGTAGTAAAACTGCTTAGAACACTTGGCCACCGAGCCCCCCTGAAAATAAGAGGCTCTTAAACAGTAACAATTATATTGGTGAAAATAAAATCAATATACAAATTTGCTTTTAAAAGTAATCTATTTACCATGAAAGCCATATCAAAGTTCAATTATTTGAGAAATAATTAGATCTATTCTAAATACATAAGAGTCGTTTAACATCGACAATATTGACATGATTCATGTTTCCGTAATAGGTGAAATAAACTCCACTTCATTTGAATTCTAGGGTGGCAATCATACCACATATCTTTATATACATCTTGTGATCCGTTTATTTGGCAATCGCCAATGGCAGTCAGCAGGGTTTAAAAACATCAGTTGTTCGACCTGCTAGTCAAATGCATTTTGTTACAATATACTTTTTCACTCATTTGGTCTTTTGAAAAATGTTGTTTCTGCTGTATTTAGACCCCTCTATCAAGAAATTTCTTTTGCATGCACACGTATAAAAATTGCGGTTTTTATCCAATGCAATCATAGATTTGAACGTTGTTTTCAATTTAGACTTGTTTATATTTTTTCGATTGGGCTTGTACTATATTTGCCTTCGTGTTTATATGATCCGTTCATCCTATTTTGACTCTTTCAAAATTCAAGATTCTATCCTAAATTGAGGTAAATGATATGACCTTCCAAATACCGTTTCGATTCCTAACATCACTGAAGAGACATTAATTGTCGAAATCCGGAAATGGTGTACAAATTTGTGCACACCATGTTTGCGATATACCATCTTTTCCTTTAGTTAATTGTTTTCTGTTTGATAATAAATTAATAATAAGATATATTTTGATGACATCTTGTGATCCGTTTATTTGGCAATCGCCAATGGCAGTCAGCAGGGTTTAAGAACATCAGTTGTTTGACCTGCTAGTCAAATGCTATAAAAAACTATCAAAGATGTACATTCTTACTACTTTTTAATTTGTTTCTATTAAATTCTTCTTGACTTATCTTACTTTTCGTGTCTGTTCCTGTATTAGTTTTGTTCACCTCGTATAAAGTATCATCATCTTTTCTGGTCCTTTTATCAAAAGTGTGTATTCCTTTATTGTCATGTTCACCTACGTTAAGGTTAGAAACCGGCTCCGACAGAGAATGACTTCCAGCTGTAATAAGATACCACATAATTTTAAGCATACAAATCTTTTCAGCAAAATAAACGGAATTTTCAAAAAGGATATTTTTTTTTCTTTCGAGGATATTTTTTGTCTAATATTGCCTCATAATCTATTTTGATATAGTGACATTTCATATACCAATATTCATGATTGCAATTAGAGCAACAGTTAAATCATACAACTTCCTATTTTATGAAGGAATGTTACTTTGTATAATAACTATGCTTCGTTTGCGATGAAGATATTTTACTTCATATAAAAATATAAATAAGTCAAATTAATAATAAAGATCCATTTTGTTACATCTTGTGATCCGTTTATTTGGCAATCGCCAATGGGAGTCAGCAGGGTTCCAGAACATCCGTTGTTCGACCTGTTAGTTAAATGCGTTTTGTTTAAATATACTTTTTCACTGTTTTGGTCTTTTAGAAAATGTTGTTTGTGTTTCATTTAGACCCCTCTACCAAGAAATTTGTTTTTCATGCACACATATAAAAAATTGTGGTTTTTATCCAACGCAGTCATAGGTTTGAACGTTGTTTTTAATTGAGACTTATTAATATTTTTTCGTTTGGGCTTGTATCATATTTGCCTCCGGGTTTATATGATCCGTTCATCCTATTTCGACTCTTCAAAATTCACGAGTCCAAATTGAGGTAAATTATATGGCCTTCAAAATTCCGTTTCAATTCCTAACATCACTGAAGAGACATTAATTGTCGAAATCCGGATATGGTGTACAAATTTTTGCACCTCATGTTTGCGGTATACCATCTTTTCTGCAAGTTTATTGTTTTCTGTTTGGTATCAAATTAATAAAAAAGATCCATTTACATCTTGTGATCCGTTTATTTGGCAATCGCCAATGGCAGTCAGCAGGGTTTAAGAATATCCGTTGTTCGACATGTTAGTCAAATGCGTTTTGTTTAAATATACTTTTTCACTGTTTTGGTCTTTTGGTGGTTGTGCTGTATATATATATATATGCTCGGCGGTGTTGTCGTAGAAGTAAGAAATAAAAAGGACAGGTTCCAGACCCGCTCGAGGAGGAAGTAAAGAATCAGATCAACTCTAACATTGTAAGGTTGATTTTCTAGGCACTTTATATATATCTATATATATATATATATATATATAAATCTATATACAAACAAGTCTAAATTGAAAACAACGTTCAAAGCTATGATTGCGTTGGATAAAAACCGCAACTTTTATACATGTACATACAAAACAAATTTCTTGGAAGAGGGGTCTAGATACAGCACAATATCGGCTTCGTTGGCAATAAAATATCTTTCAAACCTCCTCAAAGAATATATGTTGGTTAGTGTAAATCAATATTGTTCCTTAACATCCGTTTTTTTTTCTTAACATATATTCCAATTGAGGAATCAATTTGAACTGTCGGTTGAAGCTAAAAAAATTTAAACACATAACTTATAATTGCCTTACTTTTCAAAAACGAAAACAACTCTAAAAGATCGAGCTCGCGCGCTATTTTTCCTTGGATATCGTTAATGTAGGGTGAAGCTCTTTCCCACTAACCAACGACGACTAGCATACAATAAATGAACACTATTTATGAAATTGGAGCTCCTTAACAAGAACAATACTTGTAAATGTGAAATCTTAGACCTTATTATCAACAATTCGTGTCAATACTTGAATCAAAATTGTTTTGATATTTCATTGCAATTCAATGCTCGTTTCAGTTTTATATCTTTTTTAGGCCTCAAATATTTTAAATTATGAATAACCTCTTCTAATTGAGTAATTCTTTGATAACTATAAATGCGCACAATATAGACTATTATTTATTATTGTTACCGATTTTCTACGTACAAAAAAAAATATTGTGCACAGAGTGAAGAAAACTAAGAGTTTTATGTAAAAGTTCTTAGGTTGTACAAAATTACCGGTTTTTTTATTCAGATCCCACGCATCTTCGTCATCACTGCTATCTAGTGAATGATTCGCTGGTGAGGTTCCTAAGATATACAACACATAATATATATTTTAACGTTCTTTCTTTGACCAGAAAAAAATCTTCGGAATAGTGGATTACAATGTTTGTGTTATGCTGTATAAAAACTCTAAGTGACATGAAACCATCCTGTTCGTTTAACATTTTTGAAATATAATGATTCATCAAACATGGTGAAAAGACATGACCTGGGATAATTAAAAATGTTATTATGATTAGATGTAATTAATTACAAATTTTAAAGTAAAGTAATGTAATGTCGAATTGAGCATGTTTTCAATTACCTGCAATTGAAAAAAATTAATTACATTGCACTTTGCCATATAAGTATGAATTACTTTTCATTTACTTTCACTCAAAATTAAATATTTATTATAATCCTGATTTGTATCTAATTTATTTTTTCTCATATACATACATTTTTTTACTTCCAAAAACAAGTCTGTAAAATGCTATCATAATGATTGTTCTACTGTAATAAGCAGGAGCTTGAATGTTTTTTATTAATTAAGTGACTCACATGACTACAGTTGGGTGCGGACCAAGCATTACATAAAGTTAACACACGTTAACTCCGCGTGCACATATTTCGTTAGTTAACTTCATTTTTCGCGTTTACTAGTAAACGCGCTTTAACTATAACTACGTTAACGCGGTCGAATGGTAATTTCTAATGTCTACCCGAGTAAACGTGTAGTCAGTAGTAAAGAGGCGTTTGCTTCAGATTTCACTAGTTTATTTCTACGTGCACTTAAAAGTAAACGGGCGTTTACTACAGATTTCACAAGTGTATTTTTACGTGCACTTGAAAGTAAACGCGCGTTTACTTTTCGCGTTAACTGATTGTGTAAATTATAAAATAAACTTCGAGTACATTTGTACATTTTTTTTATTTTGTTAAAACGGCTTTAACTTAATATTTAACGTATATGTGTTTGAAACCGTAACAATTCAAACACACGTTTAATTCGAAATATTAACTTTTATTTATTGCAAAAAATCAGTTCCAATAACTTTAAATAGCGGAACCGTCGTAGAAATGCATTTAAATCCTTTCTAGAAACTTGAACATTATCTGATCGTATCAACTAATCTCTAACTTCAGTAATGTTTTTGCCAGATCTTCTAAACTTATCCTCTCTCAAATGTAAACTGAAAGTCTTGTAGGTTTTACAGTTCCAGGATAAATATCCATTTTGTACTTATATACTATGATTTATTTTCAATTAATTAAATAGGTGTTATATCATTAACTATAATCGTCAATATGTCAATCGAAAATGGACAGTTTCTCATTGTGATATGTTAGGTCAGTGTATCCAGGATACGATGACAATATGCGTTATCGCGCGTTTACCACAAACAGTAAACATGCGTTTACTTTTTACAAAAGTAGAAGGCACGCCTTTTTTCACGTTTACGCGGAAGTAAACGCGAAAGTAAACGCCCGTTTACTCTTACCAAAATTAGAAGACGCGCCATTTTCGCGTTAACGCGGGGGTAAACGCGAAAGAAAACGCCCGTTTACATTTTATGTCTACTGAAATTTCGGAGTTAACGCAGAATAAACGCAGCGTTTACATGAAGTGCACGCTAGTAAACGCCGCGTTAACTTTTCCGCCAGTCTACATGTGTTGCTTGGTCTGCACCCGACTGAATTAGGCTTAAGTTAAGAAACCTTAAAATATAGTTAGATATTCTAGGTAAACATTTAAAATTTTTTAGGAAATGTTTCAACAATAAAAATATATATTCATTCATATGCAAAGGGACACTGGATTCAAATTGTAATTTATGTTTGATTCTGACAAACTGTTATATTTAGTTTACTATTTTAAAAAATTCGCAATGTTAAAAGTTTATTATTTCTGATTTACAGAGAAAGCATAGGAAAGAACATGCGAGCTCTAATAAATTTAGATGCATCTCGATTGAGTCAAACGGAATACAAGAATTAAGAAAATAATAAAATATGTGAAATCTAATGTGAGGAAAACACAGATAACTGATGCTCTTGTATCATTTGTTACTTTTAAAAGAGGGGCAAAAGATACCAGAGGGACATTCAAACTCATAGATCGAAAGTAAACTGACAACGATTTGGCAAAAGAAGAAAAAGACAAACATACAAATAATAGTACACAAGACACAACATAGAAAATTAAAGACCAAAAATTGGGGGTGATCTCAGGTGCTCCGGAAGGGTAAGCAGATCCTGCTCCACATGTGGCACTCGTCGTGTTGCTCATGTTTTTACAAACCCCGTTAAATAGTCTAATTCGGTAGGTCATATTCGTGAAAAGGGAACGGGATTGTAGTTACGACATAAGGAACAACTTTATCCTTTGTCCATGTTGCCCGCGGTAGACAGATAATGTTCTAGACATTTACTTCGAAAAACTTATTCCAAGAACATAAAGAACCAAGTACCATGAAGGAAGCATCTATCTTAACAAAACAAATAAGAAATTCGGGTGAATTGCATATTGCATATTGATTAAAGCATGAACTAAAGTAACCCAAAAATGTATGCCTAACAATTGATTTGTGGTCAAGCAGTCAAATGATATGGTTCATAGAAAGAGTTGTTTAGTTTATCTATTATGATATAGCTAAAACATGTCTTTTGACAAAATTAATTGAAATGTAATTAATTACATTGAAAATGTAATTGATTTTAGAATCAATGTAATTTAAATAAAATTCATTACATTTTAAAATCAATGTAATTGTAATATCATTATTTTTTCTAAAATGAAATTGACCCCAGGTCTGCATGATTGAGTAAATATAAGATATCTGTGCACTTGATGTCAACTGTTTTTTATGAAGTTAGTGTACAAGTGTCTATGCAGTGTTTTGTACATTGGCGCTTGTCTTTTCTTCGTTTTTCCGGGTTTTTTTTTCATAGCATTGACAGATTCTATTCGATTTATGACTTTTGGATGTGCCTATTGTATCTTACACCTTTCTTTTATATCTTTTCAATTACCCGTTAAACGGT